CCCCCCCCCCCACTTCCCTGCAGCACTGAGCCTGCACAGCACACCCACACACCTCACCTGAGCTCACTGAAATCTTTGCGCAGGATCTCCAGTGCCTTCTGAAGGAACTGCTGCATGGTGTTGCCCTTCTTCATCTGTGAGGAGAGCCAGGGGGACCAGGAGGACCGGCTGCCGGGGGGGCCCCTTTCTCTGCTAGCCCAAGGAGCGCCCTCCCAACGGCTGCCTGGGCCCACACGGCCTACCTTGACCGTCCGCCGGTGTCCAGAACCATCCCAGTAACTGAAGGTGATCTCAATCTCCTCACCTACGAGGAGTCAGGATTGTCTCTGGGCCTCCAGACTTGGGGTCCCCCGCCCCTCCCCCTGTTTCCTGGGCCTCAGGGCTCAGTTGCACCCCGCGCCCCATCTACTGCCCAGGGTTGCCCCAGACCGGGGCGTCTACGCCGTCAACACTCACTCTTGATCTTCTCCTGTTTGGCCTCCCACTCCTGTCGAAGCTCTTCCCGGAGTCGGTTCTCCTCCTCCTGAGAGAGGAGACAGGCACAGGGCTGAGCCTCAGCCGGGGTCAGGGGTAAGGGTTGGAGCTAGAGCCAGGCCCAGAGCAAGGAGGCCGTTACCTCACGGTCTCGGTCAGGCAAGAAGCTTGTGTCCACATCTGGGTTCTTCCCCAGCTTCCTCCTCTTCGTGATGACCTCTGAAACCACAGCAAAACCAGGAGTCAGCTAGCACAACTGGCCCACCCCAAGGCCCCCAGACCTTGATGGCTCAGGTTTCAACGCAGAGCCCCCTCCTCAGAGGTTCCCTTGACCGACCGAACTGGGAAGCAGCTCTTCTGTTCTTCGGCTCTACCATGCAGGTCAAGGCTATTTTTCTCCCTAGCCCCCACAAAAGCGTCTTTGGTCACAAACTCACAGTCAGCTCCACCTCAGTCCCTACCACCAACAGCTCAGCAGGAGACTCGAGTGGTGGTCTTATCCCTTTAGAGGTCTCAAAAACTCTGCTGGCGTCTGAGGGGATGATGGTCTCACAACTGGTCTCTCACGGAATCCTCCCAACAGCCCCAGAGAAGGTGAGGAAACTGAAGCTAATGACATCTGAGTCAGGTGGGGAGAAGGGGAAGGCTAGGACCTGCCAATGCCCTGGACTCTGGGACTCAGTTTACCCAAGGAAGCTACACAACCTGTTGAGATCAGGACTCCTTAACAGTCACTGAGGCCAGTCTTCATGGATTGGAAGATGTAATATTGTTAAAATGTCAGTGTGGTGGTGCTTATGTGTCATGGAGTCGGGGCCGACTCACAGCGACCCTGAGTAGGGTTTCTGAGGCTGTAAAACTTTACAGGAGCAGAAAGCCTCATCTTTCTCCTATGGAACCACTGGCACTGCCAAACTAACCCTAACCCAATTCGTAAGCACTACGCTACCACTAGTCCCAAAACTATCTACAGATTCAACATAATCCCTATCAAAATCTCAATGACCTTCTTCTTTACAAAAACAGACAAGTTGATATTCAAATTCATATGGAATCACAAGAAGCTCTAAATAGCCAAATAGCCAGAACAATCTTGAAAAAAAAAGTTTTCAAATATACCATAAAGCTGCAGTAATCAAAACAGTATGGTATAAAATAAGGACAAACATATGTGGTAAGTTCAAAAAGTTCATGAAAAACTCACAACCTTTTAATTCCATTTTTCCACAGACTTTTTGAATCTAGACCAAATGAAGAGAATTGAGAGTTCAGAAATAAACCCATATATCTATGACCAGTTTGTCCTTATACCATACTGTTTTGATTACTGCAGCTTTATGGTATGTTTGAAAAATGTTCTTTTTCAAGATGTCATTGCTGGAACAACTGGATGAATGAGGTTGGACTGTTACCTGGAATGGAACAGTAAATTCTCAGATATAACACCAGAAGCGTAGGCAACAAAACAAACAGTAGCTAAATTAAAATCATGTGTGCATCAAAGAACTTTTACCAATACAATGAAGAGACAACCTGTAGAGTGGGAAAACCTTTGTGGAGCCCTCTACCTGATAAGGCTTTACTATCCAGAATAGATAAAGGACCTAAGAATAAAAAGACAAACAGCCCGATTAAAAAATGGACCAAAGACATTAACAGACATTTTGCCAAAGAGGAAACACAAACGGCCAGTGAACACATAACAGAATGCTCCACATTAACCACTGCTGTGGTTGCTAACAGTCCTGGAGTCAGTTCGAACTCACAGCGAGCCTATATAGGGTTTCCGAGGAGCAGTTGGTGAGTTTGAACCACCGACCTTACAGTTAGCAGTCAAGTCTCCTACAGCGCGACCGCAGGACTCCATATATAGAACCCACAATGAGATACTGACCCCCACTCAGAGAAATTACGGTAAGCACTGGGCTGAGAACCACAAGGTCTGTGGTTTCACCTTGACAACGTTAAGACTTTCTGCTCCCTTGCAGATTTGAAAAGCCTCAGAAACTCTATACAGGGTCACTACGAGTCAGAACCGACTCCATAGCACTTGACAACAAGGTGGCTAGTTCCTGGAGAAGGACATCAAAGTGGAGGGTCAGAGAGAAAGAGGAAGACCTCCAGACGGATGGGCACAGTGGCAGCAGCAATGGACCACAATATAACAATGCAGGACTGGGCAGGATTTTGTTCTGTTGTGCACACATGAGTGGGAACCAACTCAACAGCACCTAACAACAACAAGCTGGCTAGGATCAGGAAAATGGTGAGAATGTGGAGAAATGAAAATCCTGGTGCCGTTGCCAGTGGAAACAGAAACTACTGCCGTCGCTATAGAAACCAGTTTGTTGTTTCCTCAGAAAGATGAAGGTGGTAATGGAGGCGAGAGTCTGTTTTTGATGGCAGAGACTTGTTATTTCTCCATGGTCTCAGGATGCGGTTATCGTGAGCCCATGGGGAGGGTACAGGCCTATCGGGACACAGGCAGGTAGACGTGTGTCCCTGGGGGCTCCTTGTTCAATGCTGTCTAGTTGGTTCCAAGTCACAGTGACCCTGGAAAGGGTTTCCAAGGAGCGGCTGGTGGGTTTGAATCACCAACCTTGTGGTTAGCAGTCCAGTGCTGATGTCAGCAAGAAGATCCCAACGTATAGTGCCCCTGTAGGACACAGTAGAACTGCCTCAGAGGGTTTCCAAGGCTGTAAATCCTTCCAGCACACTGCCACACCTTTCTTCCGTGGACCTTTTGGTTGACAGTCAAGCGCTGTACCACTGTGTCACCAGGGCACGTACATTCATGGAACACACAAAACAGATACTTCACAGATAAAACCAAATACCTTCCAAGATTGGTGTTCTAGGTTTGAAAGCTTAGGATCATAGTTTCACGGGACAACTCAGCCAACTGTTCCTAAGAATGATGATCTGCGTCCTAATGAAGAGCACCGGAGGTCTGCAATGCTTGGGAACAACCATCTAAGACAGACACAGTCTCTATGCACTGGAAACAAAACAATCATTTTGTGTCTTTGAGAAGAAACAAGTCTTCTCCAGCTACAGCCTCATCTATCCTGAGATGAGAGAACTAGATGGTGCTGGGTTACCACCACTGCCCATTCTGAACAGGGTCATAGTTGTTGGGTCTGGATATGATTGTTGTTGTTGTTAGGTGCCATGGAGTGGATTCCGACTCATAGCGACCCTGCGCCAGCCTCACAATCGTTCCTATGACTGTACCAATCCATCCATCTCTTTGGTGTCTTCCTCTTTTTCGCTGACCCTCCGTTTTAGCAAGCATGATGTCCTACTCCAAGGACTGGTCCCTCCTGACAATATGTCCGAAGTATGAGAGACCAAGCTTGGCCATCTTGGCCTCTAAGGAACACTCTGGCTGCACTTCTTCCAAAACGGATCTATTGGTTCTTTTGGCAGCCCATGGCACTTTCAATATTCTCCTCCAACACCATAACCTAAAGGCGTCAATTCTTCTAAGGTCCTCCTTATTCACTGTCCAGCTTTCACATGCATATGAGGGTACTGAAAATACTGCATATAATAGGTGGGGGAAAATGGAGCAGAACTCAAATTCTTACTGTGTTTTTTCTTTTTTTTAAGCCAGAAAAACTGGAATAGTAGAGAACAGAGGACTCCCTAAAACTACCATCCTGAGATCAAAAGCAAAGATGACAAAATAAGGGGGCAGAGAAACTGCAGTACTGGAAATGCAACAAACAGAACACAGAGACGTTACATAGTAAACTAACTAATGTCAGTCAACCACTTATGTGAAAATTGTCATCTGACAATCTGACAGACTGTATAAACTTTCACCAAAAACTCCGTAGTATTATTTTTTTTTTTTCCAAAAGGATGACCCAGGAGTGAAGGCAGGAACGCAGAGAGCTGTACACCAAGGTGTCCAGCAGTCCAAAGATGGGTCCAACCCACGTGTCAGGTGAATGGACAAACTCAATGTTGCACACAATGGAGGCTTATTCAAGAGTAAAGAGAAAAGAAGTTCTTTATTTGCCTGTTATAAGCCACATATAAGGAGTTCGGGTGTGGTGCTGTGGGTTAATGCGCCAGACTGCAAAGCCGTTTGAACTGCAAGGTCGGCGGTTCAAAAACAAAAAGCTCCTTGGAAACCCTATACAGGGTCGCTATGGGTCGGAATCAACTCAACGGCTCTTAAGAACAAGAAGCCATATACTGTTGTAGCCATATATAAGTGGGAATCATGTACTATTAGACACAAAAGGACTAATAGCATATGATCCCACATATATATGGCTTCTTGTTGTTCTTAAGAGTCATCGAGTCGGTTCCGACCCATAGTGACCCTGCACAGGGTTTCCGAGGTTGTAAATCTTTACGGGAGCAGAAAGCCTCATCTTTCTCCCACGGAGCAGCTGGTAGTTTCGGACTGCTGCCCTTGCGGTTCGCAGCCCGATTCGTAACCTCTACGCTACCAGAGCTCCTTTATATAATGCTTACAACAGGCAAATTCAGAGAGACAGAAAGTAGCCTAGAGGTTGCCAGGCTCTGGAGGGCGCGGGGAGTGATTATTTACTGTATAACTCAGTTTCTGTTTGAGGTATGGAAAATGTTTGCAACTAGGTGCAGCGGTGACGGTTGTATGTGGCGAATGCAATTAATATCACTGAAGTGTACATTTTAAAAGGGCACATTCTTTACTCATATAGTCATATATTTTACCGGGAAAATGTTGGGTTTTGTTTTGGTTTGTTTAAATTCTAAGGGAAAAAGAATTACCTAGAACCCCAAAGAGCTCTTGTTTATGTGGGCTGTAACCACTGGCATCTGCTAAATTAGAAATGTAGGCGGAAGCATACTAAGACGCAAGAACACCTCCTGCGCGTGCGCTCTAGTAGCTGTCAGAGACCAATGATAGTCACACCCATGCTGAGGCCTCTGGAAATCTCCCAGGAGTCCCTAGAGCACACTCTGAGAATAGGTGGTCTAGAAGACAAGTCCCCCTCTTCATCTTAACCCTCTAGGGCAGGGGTTCTTAGGCCTGGCTGCCCACTTGAATTGTCAGGTAACATGAAAGAAGATGCCTGTCCCGGAAGGAGGGTTTCCTAAAATCCCCTAGGGGTCTGTGTTGTCCACAACTAGAGCCCCCAGCACTCACATGTAGCTAGTGCGAGTTGGTAATATTCTAGATACACTGGGTTAAATACCATGTTCCACTACAAATCTGCTCTGGTCCCAGGAGAGGACTGCAACCATGTAATGAAGCAAAGCTGGACAGAAACCTGACGGGTGCTTCAGTAAACCTTTACTCAATTCCCAAGAAAAAGTTTTTTTTTTTAAAAAAGCAGATTCTTGTGATACAATAGTGAATATTTGTTATCAGGACTGATTGTGAGGGTTGGAAATGTAAAGGTAGACGTTTTGTAGCAAGGAGGGGAGTGATTGACTTTGCAGTCTAGGAGCGGAGGTCCCTAGGATTATCAACGGAGAAGAGCGGAGAGCGGGGACCCTACCCAGAGAAGCAGTGATGCCTAAGATGGAGGCAGAGACGATGGCATGGAGAGATGGAGCAGCTGGGACTTTAGATCCAGAGAGGGAGAGCGACTGTGTGCTGATGACTGGTGGGGGCAGGCTTGCAGGATACACCCTTTGGTTGATAATGCATGGAGGGGATTGTAACCACGGCAATGATGGGATGAATATAAAACTAATGTTTTCCCATGTAAACTATCACAGAATTCACAATAAAACATTTAAAAAAAAAAAAAAAAAAAGGCAGATTCTTATCAAGCTGGACGGACCCGGCACGTGGGCATGCTATGAGTCAGGATCGACACAAGGGCACACAATGAGAGCTAAAGTTATTTTCACTTATTTCTTTTCCCTGTTTTCTCTGGCTCCTCAAGCATGAAAAAGTGCCCTGTCACAGGCAGCTCACAGACTCTGTGTCCCCATCAGGGTGGTCCCAGGTTGCTCCCCTCCAAGCTGCTGCCATCCAGCCTGTCAGTTCCCTCCCACTACCACCATTCCACCTATTCACCGCAGCCTGTACCAGCACTTGTTCTATGTCCTCAAGTGCATCCATTAGACTCTTTTCTGTCTGTCTGGACACATTGTATCTTCTGACTCTGCTCCCTCACCCAACTTCCCCCCTCCTAGTGAGTGGCAATCCGGTCATCACTAGGAGGGGTCAGCATCCTGTTTCTGTGCACTGGCCTTTCCCCAGCAAGGCTGGGAGCAGGTGTGCGGAACATGGGTTTGTGCGCAGCTCTCCCAAATTGCCCCTGTGCCCTTTCATGTCCATGGTCTAGTCCTACAAGGTTTAATTCACTAGTCACTGAATATACGTGGCCATGGACATTTGTTGAAGTGAATGCAAATGAACATTTCTGTTCCAAGGCAGGTGGGCCACACAGCAAGTGCACAGTGGGCCAGTGTGACTGATAACCACCACCCTGGCAAACGCTTCAACAAGGCCTCGAGTTCTAGGGGCCTCGTGGGTACAGCTAGTCTGCTCCTGCCTCAGCCTACTTTGTGTGGCAACTGTGCAGAGCAGCTTTTCCTGGGGCCCTACTCTCCTGCCCACAGCCACCTGCCGACCCTGGCTCAGCACAAGGTCCAGTGTTGGGCTGCTTCATTCTAGAGCCAGGTGCTGGGGACAGGGTGCTCCCTCCCCAGGCCTCCCCTCACCTTCCCTGTCCAGCTCCTCCTCATACAGAGCCACCTCGTCTTCTTCCTCGGCTCCATCCTCTTCCTCCTCCAGGGTGAAAGACAGGCTCGAGATCTTCCGTTTCGCCTCCTTTTTGCGCTCCTTCTCACGCAGCTTCTCCAGCTTCCTACCAAGGTACGGGTGGTCCTCAGTACACCCAGTGCCCAGCCCACACCCCTTCCCTGACCCACTCAGGGCAGAGCAGATCTCTTTGGTACCCCCAGGAAAGTCCCACTGGCCCAGGGCTCCTCTCTGGATCAGATCCAGAGACGGCCTGGGCAGAAAGGGATGTGAAGAATAGTGGGTGGCAGAGAGCCTGGTGAGAGGCGAGTATCTGACCAGGACAGAGAAGAATGAAGAGCAAACCATGGAGGAATGAGACATCATTGTGGGAGTCAAGAAGGCAGACAAAGGCAAACCCCAAAGCAGAAAACAGGGTCCCCCACCCACACGGGGCAGTAAGAGTTCAGGCTCAGAGGGGACAGTGGCAGAGAGACCCACAGCTGAAGCTCCTTGGATTGCTCCTTCTTGGCCAACTGCTTCTCCCGCTCCTTCACCAAGGCCTCCTGCTTGGCCTTCATGTCATTCAGGGTCACCAGGCCTGAGAGGAGACACGGGGTGAAGAACAATCCCCCAGAGGACCAGCAGGCACAAGGCTTCCAGGCACTCACTCACTCACCCACAGTGCTGGATTTGAGCTCAGCTTCCACAGCATCATAATGTGCTGAGAACTTCTTGTCGATGTTGGATTTCATTATATTTTCCTGCCGGGGAGCCAAGTCAGCAATAAGGACCAGCTGCCACCCCACCAGGGAACCTGGATCCAGTGGTCTACCTGTCCCTGGGCATACCCCGGGACCTAGGGTTCTGTGGGGCTCTTGCAGGACTTGCTCCCACCCCTCCACCTCACCCTATTTGCCTGGAGCCCCAAGCCTTGCCATATCTAACTGTAAGCCAGGTCTCCAGACCCAAGACAAGAGGTTTAAGGAGAAACCTGAAACCAGGGGCCCAGTGACTGGGAGATGTCCCTGCCTCCCAGCCCTTCAAGCCACAGGGCCAGCAAAGTCAGAGCATGAGGCAGGGGCTTGGCTTCTGCGGGAAGTAGGGGCTGGCTTCCCCCCTGGCCCTGAAGTCCTTGCTCTTTAGACCAATCGCCCCAAATCCTCAAGCTGAGGGCTCCCTCTGTCTCCACCCCGATGGCTCATCACTCATGGAAGTGCTTGGTGAACTTAGGGACTTGGTGGGGCCCTCGGTGGCAGGAGCTACAGGATGGGAACATTGTCTGGGCTCTCGCTTTTGTCCCCCTCGCCCCGACTCGGAGGTAGGTGAGGAAACTGGCCCGCTCGGCTCCCATCAAAATGAGATGCTGGCCCGGCCAGGACCCCAACCCGGGGTCACCCGCCTCGCGGGAGAGCCGGCAGCAGCGGCGCGCATGCTCCGTGGCGCCCCGCCCGGCCCGCGCGCCCGCGCACCTCGGCGATGCGCTGCTTCATCTGCTCCATCTGCTCCCGCTGCTTCTCCCGCTTCTTCATCAGGTGCATGGCGCGGCCCGCCTCGCTGGCGGCACCCTTGTACTGAGCCATGGCAGCGGCGGCGGCGGAGGTAGCGGCGGCAGTAGCGGCAGCGGCGACAGCGGCGGTAGCTAAGGCCGGAGTCTCCGCAACGACGGTGACTATGCCGTCAGCTGACGCGGTGACGTGGGCCACCAGAAAACGCCTTGGGCCCCACCTCTTGCCCGCCCCCAACACGTGACCGCCAGCCGCCCCGCCCCGCCCCGCTTCCTCCCAGGGAGGTCGCTGACCACCTGGGTGGCCACCGGTGAAATGGGGCTCTAAGAAACCCAAGTGCTAAAAGGGATTTTAGCATGGCCAAAGCTGACTAGAGAAGGCCCGAGCAGCCATCCTAGTACCGTAGTTACAATGTAGCTCACTGTCGAGCCGCCATCTGTAATCCATTCCGGCTACAGTTCCTCCCCTTCGCAACTGAAGCACTTCAGTAATTAGTAGTCAGTCCCTACCCCGAGGGCTATCGCAGGAACAGATGAAAACAATCCAACAGGTGGTCACTGACAGCCACCACCTGGAGAGATTTACGGGGCCAGCAGGAGACAGCCTGGCTAGGGTGGTCAGCATGACCTTGAATCCACTGACATCTGTTGTTAGGTGCCATGAGGCGGCCACCCAGGCAAAACAACAAAACAGCAGAGTTCTTGCCCTCCCCTCTTACTTCAATGCCCCGACATCCCTCTGAAAACTCCCCTCCCGTGCCCTGTTTCCTTGGAGACAGATCTGGGTGATTCCTGCTCTTCTCCTCACATACTCAATAAATGCTTAGTTCTTCACTCCAGTTCTATCTCTACCTCAACTGCAGGTCCCCTGCCAAAGGCCCACTCAGTGGACCCTCCTGAGGCTGTCCTCCTGCATGTGGCCTGGTAGGGTCACTGGCTCCCTTCTTCTGTGAAGAGTCCGTTGCCTTTGGCACAGTCACGCCTTCTTAAACGGTCACCTTTACTTCCTTGATTGGGGCCTTACTGAATAAAGTGGAGTCCCCAACTTGGGCTCCTCCAGCCCAGCACCCAATTTCTACCCAGTAAAGCTAAAGCACCAGACTCAGGTTTCAACACAGATTTATTGGGAGGTTTTTCTGTGAAATACACTAGAGGTTGGGAAGGGGACACATTCGCTTTGTAAGGTTGGGGTTTCCCACCACTAAGGAAAGGTGTCAACTGGATTGAGGAACACGGGGTGTGGATCAATTTTCCCACCTCCTTCTGCTTTGCTCAAATTTCTTTTTTTCTCTCAGCAAGTAAGTACCAGAGGACACAGACACAAAGGCAACAAACAAAAGTAGCAGATCAACCTCCCACCGTGCTCGGCCTGGGCCTCTCCCCTCCCAGCAGCACCTGGGATGAAGGTTCCCACTGGCTGGCAGGAAAGCCTGGGAGAAGGCTCAGCACTCCTTTCCTGTGCTCAGACAGGACCAAGGTTAATAAATTAGAATAAATTATGGGGGGGGGGATGCAACTTTGTGCTGGGAGGGCCCCTTCTCTTCCAACACACACAAGACTTGGTGGGGGGGGAGGCAGGGGAGATCTCCAAAGGCCACTACGGGAGGGGAGTATGCAGGGGGGACAGAAGTCAGCTTTTCCTCCATGTTCTTCCCAAACAGCAGAATTAGGGGTGGGGGGAAGAGACACACGAAGAAAGGAACCCTCTTTTTCCAGGATAAAGGAATGGCCAAGAAAGAGAATGCTGCCCAACCCCCCATCTCCCAAACCATGACTAAGGTTAAGGATTTGGTCAGTGAATCATTGAAGTGGGTGATGGCGATGGACGGGGAGGGGAAGCAAAGAATGCCGGAAACAGGAGGGCCCAGCCCCAGCCCAGTCTTTCCCGACTGAGGAGTGGGCTTGGGGAGGGCACTAGGGCTGGGGTGGGCGGGCGGGCGTCAATCACTGGTCAGCTTCACCAAAGACATCGTTCTGTTTGCGCTTCATGTTCTCAAAGTCAAATGCCGAGCCTACCATACGTTTATAGATGTCTTTGATGTCATTGCAGGTTGTCTCGAAGTGAGTGGTGGCATCATAGGAGCAGGAACAGAACACCTGGAGACAGCCAACAAGGGGTCCGGGGTGAGGTGGCCAGGGGCTCTGGTAGGCAGCCCAGAGCCAGGGAGGTGGGACAAATCAACTTACCTGGCTCTCAGACCCATCGTCAATGGGCTCATACAAGTCACTAATGGCCACAAACCTGAGGGGCAGAAGAAAGGGGGAAGATAGGCCTCAGAACAGGTTCCCCCAACCGCTCCGCTCGGCTCCCTTCTTCCCTCCAGGACTCAACCCGGCCTCTCACTTCTGATCGATGGGCTCCAGCAGCTCGAGAGCGGGCTCTATCTCCTTCTCGGGCTCTGAGGTCTCCACCGTGGTGCTGGCGATAGCAATGTACTTGCCCTGTGCGGCCACATTGTGCGCGTAGGAGATCATGCACACGTAGATGTCTGCCCAAGGTAAGCATGCAGTTAACGAAGACCAAAGGCACACAGTCATGCCTGGCACTGTTATCTTCAAGCCCTCACACCCCCTTTCTTCCATGGAGGAGTCAGGCAGGGAGCCCCAGGTCTGACAGGGAGAGGCACAGCAATCAGCCTACCTGACTTCCTGTTGACCTGGTTCTGGGGAATGATGATTTGGCAGGAGTTGGCATCGTTGGTGTTTTTGATGGGGTGGCTCAGGATACAGATGATACGGATCACCTGACCTGCCTTCTGCACTCGCTCCGGGATGTAGCTGGGGTCGCAGATCAGTTGCTTGCAGCGGGCCACCTGCAAAAGCACAGGAAGGACTTGGTTCTGGGTCCTATCACTCACTCTTCTTGGTGGTCGGGGGCTGGGCCCAAACCTAGGGGCAGCAGAGGCCCCCTCTTGCACTGCCTAGCCTTGCACTGCACAGGGCTCCCAGACTGCCCAGGGAGATAAGCACTGACACTCCGAGTTGGCATTGTGATCAGGGAGGGAAACCGGACCAGCACCAAGGGCTGTGGGCTTTGAGAGACAACTCCTGCCACCCAGAATGGCTGCAGAGCTGGCTTCTGCCTCCCAAGTACCTAGACAAAGGCCCTCACGGTTCACCAGCAGCAGATTGCAGAGTCAGACTCACTGGGACCATGGAGCCTCTGAGACAGCAGGCCACGCCCTGTCCACACAATTCTGCCTGGCCCGTGGAGGTCAAGGGGCTGTGCAGCAGAGCAAGCTTACCTCTCCCTCTGACTTCACGCCCACCACCTTGCCATTCTCCATGATGATGTCGTCCACAGGTTTGTTCAGCATATATGTCCCACCATAGATGGCACTCAATCTGGGGGGAGAAAGAGAGGTGATGAAGTCTCCCTGCCAGGGGATACAGGGGCCTGTTGCCACTGTCCCTGGGGTCCAGAGACCCATCTGCTTAACCCAGCAGCAATGCCACTGCCACAAACTCAGGGCTCAACTTAGTGCGCCCGAGCTTCTGCACCAGAGATCATCCAGAGGGCCACATGAGGGAGTCACAGGGCAGAGCGCCACAAAACCGGAAACTAAGGAAGCGCTGGAGAAGAGCCAACTCATGGCTAAACCCTGAATGAAAAGAGGTCCGGGCCCCAGGGCCCAGGCCTTCTGCTGCCTCAGACTCAGACTATGAGCTGAGCAAGTCAGGTTATTGGAGAGCTGGCTCTTTGCCTCTGGCGTCAACCCACTGCTGCTGTGCCCACACCTCCCAAGGATGGCAGGAAGTGAATTCAGGTCACAAAGGGGAAAGTGATAACACTTCAGAAGGACTTAAGGTGGCCAGTTTAACATTTGCTCTTAGTTCTATTCAGTAACCCCAGTTGAAAAAGCTGTACCCTCACCTTGCAAATCCCTGGGGCAGTTCACCGAGGCCATAGAGAGGGTATAAATACGGGCTTTTCCCATACCGGGCCAGGGACTCACTGTACAGCTTGATGCGATTGATGGTCTCAAGACAGGGTTGGTCCAGGTAGCTGGGGATGGCAGGGAAGGCACTTAAACAGAACCCCCTGGTTTACCCCTACCCAGGCACCAGGCCAGCCGCCGTCCCACCCTCTGGAATGGCCTGGGGGAGAGGTGCGGATCACATGCAGAACCACAGGCTGAGCGGGTGGCTGCATGCAGAAGGCACAGAAGGTGGGCACATGAAGGGCACCGTTCCAGGGGGCCGCCCCATCCTAACTTTCCCTCACTCATCAGTGCGATAGAGCGCCAGGGCGTGGCCAGTGAAGTCAATGACATCCTGGCCCAAATCGAACTTCCGGTAGACATCGCGCATGCTGGTGGTCTGGGGGTCAACCCCTTCGAAGGTCTTGGGGTCATTCTCATCAAAGTTTGCCACAAACACCAGGAACTTGCGGAAGCGCCGTTTCTCAAACATGCCCATCAGATCTGGAAAAAAAAGCCATGAGGAAAGGCTCACCAGTGCATCACAAGCCTCCTCTTCCCAGCAGGCCTGGCCAAGGAGTCAGGAGCCCAAGCTCCCAGCTGAGTTCTGTCACTCCCAGACCTCTTTTCCCATCCCAACAGAGGAGGGACTGCACTGGCCACTTGGGGATGTCTCACAAGTCAAGTGAAGAGACCCTCGCAGAGGTTGAAGTCTTCGGAAAGGAGCCCCCTCACCCCCACACCTCGCCATGACTGAACACAGTGGGGACAGACTACGGAGATGGCAGGCTTGAGAAGGGGACACCCTTTCCCTGCCTACTGTTGTCAGGCTCAGGAAACCCACACTCACTGGAAGCCAAGGCCTCTGTCTCTGTGGAGGGCACTTTGTAGATCTTGCCACCCTTGTACACGAAGCTGCCCTCCACCACTTTAAAGTCCAGGTAGCGTGTCACCTCCGTGTACAGCAGCATCTTGACCAGCTGCCCTGGAGGGAGGAAGAGCACAGCATTGGCCCAGGCCTGATGCCCCAGCCCCAGCAGGCCTCCCGTATCCCCCTCACCATTGGCCATCAGAAATTTGGGAATCAGGTCAACATTCCAGTCTCGGCCTCGGCCCATGGACTCAGGCGGCCCCTCCAGGAGCTGAAAACGCTTATAGAGCTGCAGCCAGAGAGAGAGAGAGCCCCTCAGGGTCAGGGCTGCCCTCCGTGCCCAGCCCCGGGGCCACCCCAGGCAGGACAGAGCCGGCAGCCTCACCTCCTCCAGGGGCGTGATGGAGGAGCTCTCGCCCCCGTAGTAGGGGTTCCGGTCCATGTGCAGCACCTTCTTGCCGTTCACCGACATGATGCCCGACAGGATGCATTCCTGGGGGAAGAAGTGACAGTCCCTACCGGAAACCGGGCAGCGGAGGGGGGGGGGGTCCCTGAGACCATCAGCCGCCCCGCCCTGGGCCGCGCCTGCTCCAAGGATGGGACCCGAGCCAAGGACAAAGGCTGGGGCTCCACGGGTCCCTCGGTCGCCATGGGAAACTGAGGTGGGGGAGCGGGAATGCGGCTGCTTCGGGAACCGCCCCAGACGCCGCGGGGACGATGGGACCCGGGCCGAACGAGGATGAGCGCAAGCTGGGCTGCCGATGGGCGGGGTCGGCCGCTCGGGACGCGTTTGCGGGTCCCCCGCGGCTGGGTAGGTGGCCAGGGGAGGGGCCCGCGGACAAGGGGGCACGGCAGTGGGCAAAGGTGACGGCGTGACGAGATGCCAGCGCAGGCTGTCTCTCCAGGAAACAAGGAGCGCCGGGGGCGACAGGCCGCCGCTGATGGGCCGGGAGAGCGGACCGGGGTCGTCGGGAACCGGCATCCCCGTGGGGCTGGGTGGTCGCGACCGAAGCCGTGGGTCCCAGGTGCCGCGAAGGCGAACTCACGGTGAGGCCGGTCCCCAGCACGATTACATCGTATTCCTCGTCCATGGCTCAGCCCTCGGTGCCAGCGCCAGCTCCGGCTCCTCCTCCTTCACCGCCGCCGCCGAAGCCGCCGCCGCACTGGACCAAAGATGGCGGCCGGACCTCAGCCGCCCGACGCCTCCGCCGCGTCAAAGAGTCCCGGACCTTCCCCGCCCCCTGCTGCTTGGGGACGCGCGGCACCGCCTCTGCAGCACGCGCCCCAGGAGGACGGCCGAAGTCCAGGCTCTAACAGCAGTGCAACGCCCCCGAAAGACCCGTCTCTGAGCCCCTGAAGGAGAGCGGGGCGGGCTGCATGGTGCTGCGCCGCGAGGGATCCGTGCGCGGGACCCACAGGCGCCCCGCCCCACCCCCCGGGATGCTCGAGCGCGCGCGCCGGCCACGCGCCGCTGCAGAGGGCCGGGGGCGGTGCGCGGGAGTCGACCGCGCCCTCTGAGCTCCCTGCGGTCTCCTTGGAGGGCAGAGTAGCCTTTGTCCTGGTGGCCTTCCCCCGTCTCAGAAGCTGCACATACCCAGAAGCTGCACATACCCGTGATTCACCGACCCCCCCCTCCCTCCTGAACCGTTAGGGCAGAGACCGGCAAAGGCCTTGCCCCGCCTCTCGAGATGCTGCTGGCAGAACCCCCGCGAAGCCTCTGGACCCCTGGGCTGCCTTGGCTACATCCGGGTTCTTCCTCCAGCATCTCCAGCATCCCTTCCACCCACAGAGAAATGAGGAACTGGAGGCCCAACACATGGCAGCCCGTGTTTCTTTATTAGGAAGGAAACTGAGCGCCCCAGGCTCCTGCCAGGCACTCCTGGTTAGAAAATGCCAGAAATCCAGTGATGACACCCAACCCACCTGCCAAACCACAGACAAACCCCGTTGTACTGCTTACTGTTAGCAAGACATCACCAAAAAAAATCAAATCACAGCCAAGCAGGACACAGCCCACAAACTCACACTGTCAAGCTCCTGCTGCTGCAGGGAGCGCCATCAAGCTTGGGAAGGGGGCATTTGCTACACAAAAGCATTATAAACAGCAAGGGATGATGTTGGGGAGATGAGAATAAATAAGGAGAAAGGGGAAGGAGGGGTCCCTAGATTTAAAGTCTCCTCCCCCTGTACAACTGAGCCTGGGAGATTTGTCTAACATCTAAGCAGAATATGTACATCTTGTGGTAGACATGGGGGCAGCCCTTAGGGAAAGCCCCTCGGGGTAGAAGAGAAGGAGCAGGACGGGGTGAGGGAGTTTGGGCTTCATGCGTGACTAGAGGTGGAAGATGTCGACCAGGACATCGTCACACCCTTCAGCAGCACAGGGAGATCACACTATCTGGGTGAGAGAGATGACAGGGCCCTTGTGGTCATCGAAGCGGTCCATGGTCTTGAGGCTGAGGATCATGTGGAGTCCATAGGTGAAGATGCCAAGCATGGAGAGGGAAGTGAGTAGTCCCATCCAGATGCCCGGGGAGAAGAAAGCGGCACAATCACTGGCGTAGGAGAAATGCTCGCCGCTCACATTGAAGGCCTGGATCTGGGGCCAGACAAGACACTGTCAGTGTGGGTATTCTGAGTCTCTTAGGCAGGGGGCACTGTGTGAATGAGACTCTCCAGGAGGCCGGATGACGCTGCTGGGACTCTGTGTAACCCCTTCCCTCTCCATACCTGGAAGTCCCGAAGTGTTAGCTGCCAGAGAGAGGACTGCGTGTAAAGCTCGAGCACGCTGTCGTCCTTGCTAACGCTGCTGACCCACTGGCAATGGAAGGAGTAGATGCTGGGTGCAGTGATCTGGGAGGCATTGAAGTAGGTGATGGAGCCATTGCTATGAATCTCCAGGCGCTCCATGGTAAACCAGTGTCGGGCAGACACAGGGTAGAAGCGGTTAGCAAAGATGAACCTGGGGTGGGTGGCAACAGTGGTCAGAGTGAGGGGAGGTGGAGCCACAGCTGGCCTGCCCCACCCCAGGTGCCTCCAGCACTCACTTGAATGTCACCATGGTACCAAACAGTTGCTTGTAGGTCAGCACAAGTCTGCAGGGTCAGAGGAAAAGGTGTGGGGTAAGCTGCCCCCGTCCTCAAGACCACCAAAAGAGGCAGTGTTCCCCCTTTACAGGTAGGAAAACTGACAGGCTCAGGGGGGAGAAAGGATCTAGAAGCCAGCTCTCCCATCTGTAGCTCAGGCCTGGTTGCTGTGGTTCCCAGGGCCCACTGCCTCTTCCCTCTGTTCTGTGGGGGGCTGTTGAGATGAGTGGGTTGGGTTTGGGGGAGGGCGAGGTCAAACAGAGTGGCAGTCTCTAGCCACACAGTGAGGTCTTAGGAACTTCGGAGCTAGCTCCAGAGGCAGGCCCAGGATTTGAACCAAGGATCAGAGGGGGCGCAGGACTGACACCACCCACATTCCCACAGTCACCGCAGTCCGCTAGAGCAAGGCAGCTCCCTTACCCAGCATCAGAGCTATTCCAGTAAGAGCCGGTCAGGTTGAGTTCCTGGACCCCAAAGGTGAGCGAGGTCAGGTCCTTCCACTGCTTGTTATAAGCCACAGAGAAGTTCTGAGCCCAGAACAGGATCCGGGGGGCCGTGTCATTGTAGCTCACAGGGGGGTGAGGCACATCTGCCTGGATCTTCTTCTCCAGCAGCTGGCGACCTAGCCCCCCAGATACCATGGCTGCCTCCCGGGCCACCTGTGGAGAGAGTCCAGGAGCCTTCTCTCCACCGTCCTGACCCTCCCCTGCAGAGCAATCTGCTGCACAGTGTCAACACCCATGGGCCCGTCCTCATGAAGCCCCCATCCCCACCCCCCCCAGGCAGCCCACAGCCTGGATGCCATTCCTAATTCCTTAACCTCGGGGACCATGTTGATGCGGATGCCTTTACATAGACACCAACCCGTGAGTTTGCAGGGCAAGATTAGCAGCTGCTACCTGCAGCGGGGGAGCCCAACCTCTGTGCACCCAGGCCCTCCCTGGGTCCTCCCCCCGGAGCCACAGCGGCCCTGTTGGTGACCTGCCACCCCTCACCTCCTGGAGCAGCCTACAGGGAAGGGCACATACCCTGGAAGGACGGACTGCTGTGAGAACTGCCGTGTACGGGACATCCTCAGACTGGAGTGTGCTCAGCACCTGCCCAATGACCTCGTCTACGTGAGGGGGAGAGCAAAGAGCCCAGTCACATGCTGATGACGTTCAATGGGATCACTTGGTTGCAGTGGGGACCATGAAGTGGTCCCACAGTGACGCCCTCCCCACCACACTAGGTTCCATCACCGGTGGAATGACACTTTGAAACTTTTGCCAAGAGCCAGAGTTCCCCAGGCACCCTCCCATACTGTTTGCAGTCACTTGTAATGAGCAGGCCTGATAGCAGCTGTTCCTCGTTCCACCCTCCACCCAGTTTTCCCATGGACCCTGGGAGCCTTGATTCCCTGATGACAAGTTGTAACAAAGTGAAACAAGAACAAACAAAGTGGATACACAGAGGTCTGCCTACAAGGATACAATGTACATGCTGATACAGACACACAGCGCCATGGCATGGCTCTAGATAGATGGGTGTGACTCCTGGTATAGGAACGTGGATGTGAATAGAAACACTGAGCATGCAGGTTGGTGGTTCAAACTCACCAACCGCTTGTCCAAAACTCTATGTAGGGTTGCTATGAGTCAGAAACAACTCAACAGCACTTCATAACAACAACAATGTAGACATGGAATCCTGGTGTGGTGTTGGAAGATAAGCACCAGATTGCTAACTACAGGGTCTCTGTGAGCTGGAATGGACTCCATGGCACAAAACAACGCAGCCATCTCCATATCCACTCACATAAGGCTGCCAAGGAGTCCCTGGGTGGTGCCAGCGATTAAGCACTTGGTTGCTAACCAGAAGGTTGATAGTTCGAGTCGACCCAAAAGAGATCTTCTGAAAAGTCAACCCAGTTCTACTTTGACACACATGGTACATGACGAGTCAGACCATGACTCTGCAGCCACTGGCTCCCAAGCTCTCAAGATTGGACTGAAGGCACGTTTCAAGTCTATTACATCCGAAAAGCTTGGATTTACTCCAGTCAAGGGAAGTGGGCTCTTGGCAGTGTCTCCCTAAGTCCCCCACTGCCCCGACACCCCTGTAGCAGAACCCCAGTGTGTTGCTTGGCCAGCTGGTCCAACTTGTATGAACACAACTGTGCAGGAAAGGCAGGGCCTCCTGGGTGGTGAGGCAGCAGCTCAGGGGCTTTGGAGTCACGGTACCAGCTACATCACACAAGTGGATGAAGAAAGGTAGAGGAGTCAGGTAAGGGGGCATGTCACTGATGCCACTCACCATTGCCCGTAAGGACTTCCCTGGGCGCCATCAGGCCAGAGCTATCAAAGAGACAGAGGTCAGTGTCCTCTTGTGGGCAGCTTGCCTTCACAAAGTCTCCTCTGCCCTGTACCCACCCACCCTACCCCCTTCCAGCCTCCCCCCACTCCACAACCTCCCCTCAAGGTCAAGGCCTCAGAGCACCAGTTCACCGTCCTCCCTCCCTGATCACAGGGCCTGAAACCTGGCTGGGAGCCAAGTGCATGCTCCCCACATAGCCGCCTCACCCCTCTGGCCACACCAGCACCTTGCATGAAGATTTCAAGGTGCCCAGGCCTCCAGGTTCTTGGGGCCCTAAGGCTCCGCTGGCCCTGGGCTGTACCTGGCCGTGTAGGGCAGTCGGATGAGCAGCAAGGCTGGGAGGCTGGCATTGAGCTTCAGCTCCCGAAGTGTGGCCAGGTCCACATGCAGGGGGCTAGCCCCGAGTTTCTCCTGCAGGTAGGTGGTCAGCGTGCTTACAGCATACCAGTCGACTGCAGGGAGCACCAGCGAGGAGGGGGCCAGAGTCAGGGCATTCTGAGGGTGGGGAGATGAAAGGTAGAGTCTGCATCCCTACCAGACACTCAGGCCTCGGTCCTGTGGGGTCCACAGGCTAGTTCTTACCATGCTGAGCCGAGGTACACTTCAGAGCTCTTACCTCCAGGTTTGAAAAGGCGCTGTCCTGCTTGTTGCCAAACACTCCTCCATAGGCAGTGAAGTCCTCGATGCTTAGCTAGGAGGGAAGCAGAAGACAGCCTCCAGAGCTGGACGGACATGGACAAGGTCAAGGGCGAGGCAGGCCCAGCAAGCCCTCCTTTTGAGGACAATGTGGTTTGGTAGTGGGAACAGCAAATGGGGGCTCTCTGTGTGTCCTCTAGCACATTCACCCAGGTCACGGGGTTGGGAGGAATTGGAGCTGACAGTGGGTTTGTGGTGAGCAGAGTCAGCTGCCTGTCATACATGTGGAGACAAGAGGAACTTGGTAGAGAAGAGGGAAGCTGAGAAGGGGGGTAGGGAGGTGCACCCAGGAACACAGTGCAAATCTCTCCTAGGCCTGAGGGTGCAGGCTGAATCAGGACCCCTTTCTAAGGGGCCTGGGAATTCCCTCTTCCCTCCCTCCCTGTGTCTGAAGAGGCATGAGAGAGAGGTGAGGATCCTGGACTGGAATACACTGGTGGGGACACTCCAGTCTTTCCGTTCCCCAAAGCACAGCCCCACACCTACCCTAAACCTTGTCCTCGACAACCTAGAGCTGTCCTCTCATCCACTCCCACCCCCACCTTTTCAGCTCAACCCAGAAGCCAAGCGATCTTAATCAGCTTCCCTAAGCACACTGTTTAGTATACAAACTTGCGCAACCTCCCCGCCCTCTGGACAGGAAAGCTAACCCTTTGGGGGGACCTGGGCTCTCCTTCATGAAGCCAGGGGAAGCCAGGGATCCTGAGAACAGAGAAAGGGAGCCGCCACTGTATCCCATGGGCTTCCTTTACTCAAGACATCATGTCACTCCTGCTGGAAATTGACCAATCTTTCCCCAAACCTACAAGGTCTAGCTCATCTCCTGGTACCTCTCCACTTCCTTCTCAGACTCACTCCAGGCCCAGTCCACTGAGCCTTCCCTGAGTTCACCAGGAGCGCACCTGGCCCCAAAGGCTTTGCACTTGCTGTTCCTTCTGCCTGGCATGCCCTTCCTTACCACCATAAAGCTCCCTACTGCTTCCCTTGAGTTCTCTGCATGAGAACTCCTCCTCAGAGAAGCCTTGGCTGACTGCCTGGATCTGAAACAGCATGCCCAGTCACTAGGTCCCCTGAACTGGCTTCCTGCATTCAATACAGTGCTAACATGGTATTACACACCCCTTTCACAATTCCTTGTCATCCCCACGACAATGGCAGCTTCATGGCAGTAGCAGCTCAGGTTACTTTGCTCGCTGCTACATGCCCCCCTCATACCACCACCTAGTACCCAGCAGGCACTCCACCTTGGCAAATGAATGAAAGCTCAAACACCCTAAGGCACGAGACCCCGGTTGGATATTTTACGTGCTTTATGAGAATCACTCCTCACAGTCCTTTAGTGCTAGCGGTCTTAACAGCTGCAGAAACTGGCATTCACAAAGATGATTTTGTTTCTCCAAAGGCTGCTAAGTGGCAGAACTAGACTGAATTCAAGTCTGACTGCATTATTTACCACCTCCTGGGAGGACTCAGCCTTCATCACCGCCACCACCTACCCACTGAGCAACAGCAGGAGATGGTGAGGGGAAAGAGCTACAAAGGCCACGGAAGAGGCAAGGTCAAGCCTAGGCCCCACAGCCTTCCCAATACCAGCTCTAGGCTGGCTGCCTTAGCCTCTGTTCTATAGGTTTGCCCAGGAGGGAAAGTGCCATGACCCAGTCAAGAACCAACTGGTGGGCTCCAACAGAAGCCGGCTGAAACCACTTCTGGTGTCTATAGACCATGGAACTTTCAAAGCCATGGCTTGTTTGACAGTGAAATTAAGACCATGACTTCCACTTAAAACAGTGCACAAGGGTCACTTTGTGATCAGTCCCATTATTCACTTTTCAATTCAAAACACAACTCTGCCACCGACCTTGGGCATCAGTCTTTCCATGTGGCAGAGGGGGACTGGAATCCCCAGGTCTGCTTGGGACTGAGTCGGCATGTGGCCCACCTTGGCTACTCCAAAGCGATGCGCCCACCCAGCACACGATTGGGCCAAGGTCACGGAAGTTTCCCTTGGGGAATGGGGCAGGGAGAGGGCCTGGGCGGCGCACCTTGTCCTGCAGGAAGAGCAGCACGTTCCGGGGGCCTAGCTCCAGGGCGGGGTCCAAGTAGGTAGAGAGCTGCATGTCGCTGGTGATGTGACCCTCGTGAGTGTCGGCCGCAGGAGCCCACAGGTCCCTGCCAGGGAACACAAGCGTGCCGTCAGCGGGGCGCCTGGCTGGAGAGCCGAAGCCCAGGAGCGGCCAGCCCCCAGCTGGTGCGTGGGCCCCCGAGCTCGACCAGCGAGGCAGTTTGCCGCCGCTCCCCGGCAAAGGACAGTGTCCCTCTGGGCTCCGCCTCCCTCAGCCGACACTAGTCCCGGAGTCGGATGGCCGCGTCCCGGACAGGCCGCAACCCCGCCGCCCCAGGAACCGGCCCCGGTCCAGCGCGCTCACCGGTCACTCGACCACAGCACCAGCGGCACCTGCTGCTCCGCCGCCACTGCCGCCGCTGTCACGGCTAACAGGAGCGGTAGCCACCGCATCCGCCAGAGCGCCGGCACCCACCGCGCTCGCGCTCGCACCCTAGCCGTTGCCGCCATCATAGCCCCAGCTGTACAGCTCGGCTGCCACTGCCGCCACCGCTACAATCAGGTGACCGCCGCTCTGGGCAAGTTCCGCCCCGCGCCGCCATTGGTCCGCGTGCAGGCCTGCTCGCCAGCCCCGCCAGTGATTGGACGAAGTGCGTGCCACTCACATCCCGCTCCTCTTCAACGATTGGATGTACGTGTCTGCAGGCCTGCTCGCTTGAGCGGAAAGAGGGCGTGGAGGACTCGGTCGGTTCCCAGCGCCCGGCCTCCCGCCGCAGCTGCCACCGCTGCGTCCACTGGCTGCAACCAGGGCAGTAGGACCCCGGCGGAAAGGAAAGAGGGGCGGAACGAGGGGCGGGATTCAAGAGAAAGGGCGAAAGGGACGCGGCGGACTCCACTTCAAAGACTCCCAACACACGCACTCTTGCCCTGTTCTTGATAGGTGTCGCTAAGTGGGTTCCGACTCACTACGACGCTCTGCTCAACAGAAGGAGACTCGGCCCGGCCCTGCGCCGTCCTCACAATCGTTGCTGTGTTGGAGCCCACCGCTGCTGCCCCTGTGCCAGTCTATCTCATTGGGGGTCTTCCTCTTTTTCGCTGACCCTCTTCACTTCACCACGCATGATGTCCTTCTCCAGGGACTAGTCCCTCCTGATGACATGTCCAAAGAATGAGAGACGAAGTCTGCCCACTGGTTTTTCCAAGGAGCATTCTGGCTGCACTTCTTCCAACACAGATTTGTTTGCTCTCCTGGCAGTCCATGAACCTTTAATAGTCTTCTCCAACACCCTAACTCAAATGCATCCGTTCTTCTCCGGTCTTCCTTATTCACTGTCCAACTTTCACATGCATATGAGGTGATTGAAAATACCATGGCTTGGGTCAGAAGTACCTTAGTCTTCAAACTGCTATCTTTGCTCTTGAATAAAAGAGGTCTTGTGTAGCAGATTTGCCTAATGTCGATTGAGTTCTTGACAGCTGCTTCGGAGACAGTTGATTGTGGATCCAAGTAAAATGAAATCCTTGATAACTTCAATCTTTTCTCCGCTTATCATGATATTTATTGATCGATATTAATGAAGGCTGTCTTTGATCTTCATTAGGAAGTACTTCCTTCGAGTCCTCCTTGCTTCCAGCAGGCAAGGTTGTGACATCTGCATATGCCAGGCTGTTAATGAGTCTTTCTCCAGTCCTGAGCTCACACTCTTCTTATAATCCAGCTTCTCAAATTATTTGCTCAGCATTGTTGTTTTTGTTTTAAGTGCTGTCGGGTCAGTTCCAACTCATAGCAACCCTGTATAAGGTGTCTAAGACTGTACACCTTTGCAGCAGCAGAAAGCCTCATTATTGGGCTCATACTGCCGACCTTGTGGTTTGCAGTCCAGTGCTTAATGTACAAACGTACTGCGCTCCGCAGTTGCTCAGCATACGGTTTCAATAAGTATGATGAAACAGTACAACTCTGGCCCATACCTGATTTTAAACCAGTCAGTGTCCAAATGACTGCATCTTAGTCTATGTACAGGTTCCTCATGAGCACAGTTAAGTGTTCTGGAATATCCATTCTTAGCTGGTCATGATCCACACAGTCAAAATGCCTTTTTGTGGGCAATAAAGCACCACAGTGATATCCCTTGTCCTCCTCATCTGAATTCGCTTGAATTTCTGGCAGCTCCTTGTTGATGTACTGCTGCAACTATTTGTGAATTATCTTCAGAAAAACTTTACCTGCATGTTATGTTGTTTGACAATTTTCACATTCTATTGAATCACCTTTCTTTGCAATGAGTACAGATATGGATCTCTTCCAGGTGGTTGGCCAGGTAGCTGTCTTCCAAATTTCATAACATAGACAAGTGAACACATACAGAGCTGCAGCCATTTGTTGAAACTTTACATTTTGTATTCCTTCACATCCTGGATCCTTGATTTTCACCAATACCTTCCATGCAACTTGGACTTCTTCCTTCAACACGATCAGTTTTTAGTCATATGCTACCTCCTGAAATGGTTGAACATTGGCCAATTTTTCTTGATACAGACTTGTTTTCATTTTCTTCAGCTTCAACTTGAACTTGCAGCTGAGTAATTGTGATTTCTGTACATTCCATCTGGTGAGGGCCACGTATATAGTCGCCATTTGTATTGTTGAAAAAGGAAATTTCCAATGAATCGGTCGTTGGTCTTTCAGAATTCTATCATGTAATCTCGAATGTCGTTTCTGTCACCAAAGCCATATTTTCCAACTACTGATCCTTCTTTGTTTCCAACCTTCACATCCGAATCTCCACTGACCATCAATGCATCTGGATTGCATGTTTGATCAATTTCAGACTGCAGAAGTTGATAAAACTCTTCAATGTCTTAATCTTTGGTATTATTGGTCGGTGTGCACATTTTTAATAACTTCACATTAACTGGTCTTCCCATCTATCACTTATAGCAGTATACTTCAGGATCTTGAAATGTTCTTTTTGACAATAAATGTGACTTCATTCCTCCTCAATTTGTCATTCCTGGCATAGTAGACCATATGACTTTTTAATTCAAAATGACTAATACAAGTCCATTTCAATTTACTAATTCCTAGGGTCGGAATCGACTCGACGGCACTTAACAACAACAAGTATATCTATCTTCAAGCATTCCATTTCTTTTTTGACAGCTTTCAATTTTCCTAGATTCTTGCTTCTCATTTAAGAGTCTTGCCACAGCAGGTGACTCTACTTTTCTGAGTGTCTTCCAACCTAAGAAAAGATTGGCACAATGGGTTAAGTGTTGTGCTGCATATCAAAAGGTTGGCGGTTCAAACACACCAGCTGCTCTGCTGGGAGAAAGATGAGGCAGTTTGCCTCAGCAAAGATTGGCATCTTGGGAAAGTCTATGGAGCAGGTCTGCTCTGTCCTGTGAGGATGCTATGAGTTGGAATTGACTCAACCAGTGGGTTTTTGGTTTCCAACCTGAGAGGCTCACCTTCCAGCATTGGACCGTGTTTCAGAAGGTTTTGACTGGCCCTTTTTTCCAAGTCTGGAAGCTCTACTGAAGCGCTACTGAAACTTGTCCAGCATGGGGGACCCTGCTGGTATGTAAACTAATGGGGGCACTGCTTCCAACATCACAGCAACCTGCAAACGTTCAACGCTACCTTGTTTGGATCTTCTCTGTGCTTCAAATCACTGAAGTGGCATCTATTTCCTACTGATGGACGTGTCTTGATACTGGTGAGAGGTACTTGTCATCACTTAGAGGGAGGAGAGCCAGAGGGTCTGGAATACAATCTGGAGGACAGGAAAGAGGAGGGCCCACAAAAGAAATCCGATGAGAATTTCCAAATCATTGGGGATCACCCCAGAAGAAGTCTGATTTGATTCCAAGGGCATGATGAGCAATGATGCTAGTATCAAATGCTTCAAAAGGGCCAATCAGACAAGTACAGAAGACTTTCTTAAATTATCAACAACTGGCGACTTTGACAAGAACAACCCCAGTGTAAGGAAGCGAAGATTGGGTGTAGATTGTCTTTCTCAAGGTTCCCCTTGAAGGGAGGGAAGAAACAACAGTGACAGAATCAGAAGATGGGGACACTTCCTCAAACAAGTTGGAGATTTCCTCTTTTCTATGACTTTTTTTGTTTCTTTCAGATTGCTGAATGTTAACAGCAAATGAGGTTGTTTACGTACAACCAAAGGTCTCATGGGATTTAATTCCTTGGTTTGGAGGCTTAGGGTCCTGGTTTCATGGAACCTACCAGTTAATTGGCCTAATAGCATGTTAGTGCTTCTGTTCTACCTCCTAGTTCATTGTGTAGTGCCTAGGGTTTGAAAAGCTTGCAAGCGGCCATTGAAGGCACAACATTTGGTCTGTATTTGCCTGGAACCAGAGAGAAAGGAGAATTAAGGCTAAGAGGAAGGTATGGAAAGTGTGACTTTCCGTTTCTAACTGCCTCCTTTGCCAAGAGACCAGAAGAACTGCACGGTGCCTGGTTACCACAACTGAACATGTTGATCAATATGATCAGATGAATGTCAAACTAATGTTCTCCCATGTATACTATCACATAATTCACAATAAAACATTAAAAAAAAAAAAAAAAGATTCCATGCCAGAATCCCGATCAAAGGGGAGAAATGTAGAACAGAATTTCCAATACTCATCGACTCTAGACTTTCTGGAACTATGGCAACTGGATGAACCCCTGAAGCTATCTCACTGAGAGCCTCTTTAAACCTCAAACCAAAAATATCCCTGAAAGTCATCTTAAAAGCAAAGGATTGTTTAGTTCGTACAAAGGTCTCCCTTGAGCACTGTATGGGATCAAATTTACACCAGCAACTCAAACAATTACATCAAGATTTACATGTTGTTGTTAAGTGCTGTCGAGTCAATTCTGACTCATAGTCACCCTGTATAGGGTGTCCAAGAAGCAGCTGGTGGGCTTGAACTGCCGACCTTGTGGTCCAGCGCATTAACTTTTTAAATCATACATAAGTCAATATAGATTTATAACTATACCTGGTGTGGTGCTGTAGGATAAACACTGGACCATGAGGTCAGTATGAACTGAAAGGTCAGCGATTCAAACCTACCAGCCGCTCCTTGGAAACCTTGTACAGGGTCTCTATGAGTTCAAACAGACTCGAGGATGCTGAACAACAACACTGTTATATGTATAAATTCCTAAACAGCCTTTTAAAAGATGAAAGACAGAAAATAGATAGGAAGCTTACATAAAATGTCTCCGACTATTTCTTTTTGAGACTTTTTTTGTTGTAGTTTTCTAGGAATGTTCTTTTCATCTGTTTCCAAACTTACTGGCATAAAGTGTACTCTAACCCTCACTTTTATTGTTAGAATTTCTGACGTTTTTCCTTGATCGATATCACCAGGCATCTTTTTTTTTTTTTTTCCCTTAAAAACAAAAACAAAAACAAAAAACCCACTAACTTTTTACTTTGTTGTTCTTCTATATTGTGTCTTTATTATCTACTTCATAATTTCTGCTTATATTTATTACC